ATAAAGAGGGGCTGATATCACAGGGGCAAAGGTGCTGTCGGGCGGGACCCACACCAGATGCCCTCGGTGTGATGCACACCACGCGATTCCTGTGGGGAAAGTGCTGTGCCACGGCTGTGGTGGCAGCGCTCCTCCTCCTCCTCCTCCTCCGTGGATTCTGGGCTTATCAGGAGCTGGACCCTCAGCGGGTCTCCGAGAAGAGTCCCCTCCAAGGATTCCACAAAGTCCACCCTAAAGTAACTCGGAGGTAAGTCCGTGACCCACATTTCCAAGGCCGCGGTCACTCTCCGAATCTCATTTCGTCTTCACGCAACCCTCACTTGAAAGCTTCCACATAAAACGACCGCCTGTTGACTGCACTGCATTTGGGGCATCGGGAGGGGTGGCCTGTGAACCACGAAAGCTCACGAAACGCTTTCAGGGCAAGCTAGAAGCCTTGTTCCTCCTCAACCCCTTTCTTAGCTGGGGCACCAAAAGAAGCACCTCAGAAAGGCCACCAAGCCACGCCGGGGAGGCTGTAAAAGCGAGGCATCCGCGCGCCCCCCCCCGCCCCACAAAGGGCCCGTGGGCGGCCATAAAACGGGGGGGGGGAGGAGGGAATGAGCGCTCTGGGCTGGATAGGTGCGCCCAAATAGGCAGGTTGGGAGGGAGCATCCGGCCATTTAAGGCCGGCCCTCGTATATAAGGCGATACAGCCATAACCAGACGCAGCGCCACATACTTCCTGCCTTCAAAAATATTCCGGGAAAAGTCCAGCAGGGTCTTCTGGGCCGCCCGGGAGGGGGGGGGGGCTTGCAGGCCGACTGGAAGAGAAGGAAAGCCCGGCCGAAGGAGGAGGAGGAGGAGGAGGATAAAACGCGGCTGGTTCATTTTATGCAGACGTATCAGCCTCCACACTAAGCAGGATGATGATGATGATGATGATGATGATGATGATGATGATGATGATGATGATGATGATGATGATGATGATGATGATAGTTGTTATCGTTTTTTCGGGCTGTTAAATAATAACGACGACGACGATTAACGAAGGGGATCATTCAGCGATAGACAAAGTGAGGGAAAGGCCGGACTCAGAAGCACTTCTCCAGAGATGGGGAACGCTTGCCTTTTCTAGACTACACGCCCCAGGATCCCCCTCCACCTCACCGGGGGATGCTGGGCGTTGTAGTCCAAGCAGCAGCAGCAGCAGCAGCAGGAAAGAGGCCCCGGAGCCCCGCCAGGTTCCCCCCCCTCGTTCTCCCGGGGGCAGCCCCGCTCCCTCCAGGATCTCCCCAGTCCAGGGT